AACGTGAAGAAAGACCGAAACAGCTAGTTAAAAGACGTGTTATTCTGGAATCGACCCCCCGGCTCATCACCACCACCCGCCGAACTGAAAACCGCAAAGATAATCCAACAATCTGACCAGAATGTGTTATTTTGAAATCAACCCCCCGGCTCATCACCACCACCCGCATTTTCTGTCACACAGTCTTCACTTACCCCAGCGGTCCCAGCCAGTCAATAATGGAACCCAGCCGTCCCACACTCCTCCATGTTTTCTAGAAAAGTTAACCAATGCACAGTCAAAAATTTCATCAGGATAATCTCTATTCCACAGCTCGACCTTCAAGGAAAAGAGGAAGTGTAGCTCTGAACCAGGTACAGTGTTAAACAGTTTCGCACGGTGAAGAAAGGAGCCAATCGCCGCAAGCTTCTGCTGTCGGCTAGAAAAGGAGTGGAAGTCCTGAATGTTTTGAAACACCAACTTCTTATCAACTCCACCATGCTGATTCTTCAGTAACGGCATACACACCAAAACTGCCGAATTGTCACAGATCTTGAGTACACACCCCAAGAAATCCCAACAGCTACCTTTATCAGTTCGTTCAAGCACTAACTTTTCATCATAGCAACTCTCGAAGGACTTCAAGATTCTACCAGCTTCCTCAACAGATCGAACATCTGACCGTTCACAGAAGACAAAGACAGACACATCGTCTACTAACCGAAGCCCTCTAATCAGTGCCCGATCCCTTCCTAAGGACGACAGAAAGAGGAACTCATTATATGCACACAGCAGGCATGCCAGAGCAGGACTCGACGACTTCCCCATCGGGATACCTACCGTTTGCTGATAAACCGATCCGGTCGCCATCACAAACGTATTATCCAACTCAAATTGAACAAAAGAAAGAACTAAAGTAAAGGAGAGAAATTTCCATCCTTCTTCACTGCGAGATTTCAAAATCTTAGCAGTTTTTCCCACATTGCATACAGACACACCCTTATAACCTTTAGCCGTCCAAAAGTCAATCACCCATGCTAGTGCATTAAGAATAGACTGATGGGGCAAATTGGAGAACATTTCCTTGATGTCATACGAAGCCCCCACCAACGTACTCCCTTCCTTTAAGTCCTTGTTGATTCCTTGTAACTTCTGCAGCAAATCACCTGTAGATCGAAGATTAAAATTGGTGTCTGAAGGGAGTTTCCACAGCAGAAGATTCACAGCACGGGAGATCCTTTTCCCACCCATCACGGAGCACTCCGAATGCGACAGACAGATCGGCCTCCATCTGCTCACATCTTTGTGCTTGGGTAGACAGTAGGCACGTCCAAGTTGACCATTCTCATTCCATTTACCCACCTTCATCAGATCCCTACCAACATACTCAGCCTTACACCTAGTCAAAATCTGAGATTCATCGGGGCCGCAGGAGGTCAGAGAGGAATTGTCTGAGAATAACTTCTTCATTGCACTCTTATACACAATAGGACAACAGACGTACGTGTCACCCATATTGTGATCTAATGGACAACACACCAAACCTCGAAGAATACTAAGATAAGGAGAGATTTCACCAACTGATACCACATGGGAGGAAGAAGGCAAAGGAGAAGAAGAAGAAGAAGAAGAAGAAGAAGAAGAAGAAGAAGAAGAAGAAGAAGAAGAAGGAAGAGGAAGAGGCGTGAGACGAAGACAATGAAGATGACGAAGAAGGAGCAGACGCAGTAGACGAAGATAGACAACCAGAGACAGAACCATTGAAACACAACTGCAGTTCCTCCCTACTAATAATCTGACCATCAATAGGTGGTAGCGACGTCAGGTCACGAAAGGCCTGGAGGATCTGCGTTTTCAAACTCGCAGCCGATCTCAAGTGTGTAGGCCGGAGAATATTCCTCGAATTCTGCATCCATTTTGGAAACTCACTGCATTCATTCACACGAAACGCCACGTGCCCATCCACCCTTGGAAGTCTGACTGAGGCATCACCACATACACACCCCACCTTCTCCATGCGGGAGTGCAACCGATAGTTGTGAATAAAATCGCCCACTGTCTTGTTACGTCTCCACACAACACGGATCTTCCGAATCAACATTTCCTTCCATCCAACTGCAATATCCAGCGAGCTAATAACTTGTGCGCACACCCGCCTCACCATGCACTTACTAATCGAATCATCATAGACAATCCGTACAACCAAGCGACATCTCACCAGAACACCAAACTGCACCCGGATGGCATTAGACAGAATTACTCGTAGTCGTGACCTTGTCCTTTTTTCGCTAAATAGCCGAATAGCATTGAAGGCATAGATTAGATCATCAAGACCCCACTTCCGTAGAAGCATCCGCTCACGGGGTGCACTGAGCAAGGTAGCGAGTGGTTTCTTCAACGACAGAGACCGAAACATAAAGGGAACAATAGAGATAAAACACAAAGTCACTCCACTCCCGATCCAGCTGCGATAGTGTCGCAACTCACCACACCCGAATTTGCAAGAAACAAGCGAACCGCCATACATTCGTTTAAGTACCTTCCAGTTATCCAGCAGAGAATGACCACCCGAGCACACAATCACGCAGCTCGCAGCGCTCTGATCGCGGCATTCATTTAAAATCCTAATCAAGTTATTTGAGGCGATTCCTACTGAAGAGTGAAAACATAACAGTGCCTGATTCGTAGAAATACTAATTTCAGCCCTTCCCCCATTCCTCGACTTCTGACGCCTCCTCTCACGCAACCCTGATCTCCGTCTCTTTGACTTTCGCGGTTTATCCCGTATGTTAAGAGCCGACGAGAATAGGCGAATGTAAGATTTTTCACAGGCATCTAGATCATCAATCGAACAGCTACATATTGGGATGGGGACATAGTTGTGCGAGCCATGTCTACGTAACCATTGATACAATTTCTCATTCCTCCTCCTCCCATCACCACCCCCTGGATTGCCTGCCCGGTATACGTGCTCTCCCCATCGCACAAACAGATCTCGTGTGGTACTACCTACATACACATGATGACTCCATGGCGACACAAGAGCATATACCAACGGACCTTTGCAAACATCAAAGTCAAATTTTTCAGAGAAAAGCAACTGTACGTGATCTACCAACTTAGTTCCCCAATGGATCTGCCCCAGCAAAATCAACTGCAACGTCACACAACAAAAAAGAACATTGAGTACCTTACAACGCAGCAACTCAGCAGAACAAGAACGAATATCAGAACATCGTCGCGCCAGCTCCCACAGAAGGGCCGCGTTCGGGGGTGACCCTAAGAGGATCCGGCGTCACCCCCGACATCCTTACTACTCTCGTCATCATCTCGGTCACCGGTGACTTCAGAATCACTGATAACGATCCCCTTGCCCTTCGCTTCACCAATCCGATTGTCGAACGCGAGAGCAACTCTGCGATTTGCAAGCTCCTCCTTCGATTCTTCAAGGGTAGTGTAAGGTATGTTCTCCTTTTCGCGCATCGCCTTGATCTCATCTTTCTTCTTCGGCTTCAAAAATTTTCGTGTATCCTTTAGAAAAATCTCACGATCGTTGGCTCAGACATGCGGACTGTGTCGAGCCTTACCTTTGCCCATCACATCCCCGGATGCAACCACAACAGCATCCATTTTCTCCTTAAGGTTCGTTCCTGTCACCTGCCGTTTCTCCATCTCCAAACGAGCCAACGACTCCTTCATTTTTTCCAACTCTTGTTCAGCTTCTCTTCGCCCATTTAGCTCCTTTGCCCTTGCTTATCGCAGCGCTGCCAACTCCATCGCATGCCGCTCAACCACCTCTTTCAGATACTCATCTCTGATCACGGTTGCTTGTGGTGCTTTCACCGGAGTCCCACGACGACAGGGGCTAGGTGTAGCTGCCAGCCCTCGACATGTACGCTTGCTGCCCGGCCTCAGAGCTTCTTCCTTCCACAACTCATCCTGCGCCTGTGCATCATCTTTCGACTTCCGCAAATCCACCGTCTCCATCTCAAGCGCAGCCAATCGTCTTTCCATCTTCAGTCTCTCCTCTTGCTCTCTTCGTAACCGTTTCATCGTGTCCATTTCTAACGTAGCTCTCGTTGAGCTCGATGTACCGGCGTGCTCCTGTATGCGTTTATTCAGCTCCCCAATCTCCACCCGAAGCTTCGTCACACCTTCATCCGCCTCCCTCCCTTTCTTTCCAAGCAAAATTTCGCACATTAGATCTAATTTACTCGTCATTGTCTCGCTAATTGCCATGTGAAATTCCTCCCTATCTTTCTTTTCTCTCAATCGCTTCTCATCATCTTCCCGTTGTTTCTTCATCTTCTCCTCTTCATCCTTCTTCTCCTTCTCCCGTGCAATCTCAGCATCGTGCCGAGCCTTCATTTCTGCCACTTGTGCTTCCAGAGCAGACACCCTGTTTCGCAGCCAGCCACTACTTTGGTAATTACCGCCTTGAAACAGACCACTCGCAACCCCACTTCCAATATCGGAACTAGCTGGAGGTACTAGAGTCAACAGTGGTTGTTGAATAGGGACAATAGTTGTACCGTGATTAGAAGGATTGCCAGGCAGGCGTCTGTCAGGGTAGGGACAAAATCTAGAGAAGTGGCCTGGCTGACCACAGTTGTAGCAAGACTGTGCATTGGAGGAAGATGGAGGAAAAACATTGGACTGATTAGATGCCATCATCTACAGTGAATAGTCGATAGTCACAACGATAAAACGGACGAAGCCACTCAACAGTAGTGCAATTCCTACGTCGGTTACTCGGTGAAATAAGGTATTCAATAGTGATATTCACTCATAGACRGAAACATCAATTCAATCACAAACAGTCATATGACGACCACGACGACCAGAAGAAGTCATAGAAATTGACGACCGTGAACACCAGCAGAAGACACATGATAGAAATAGTACCCGAACGCGACGTATCATAAAAGTAAAAACATGAAGCTCRTAGTACGCRCGGCACGACGGCGCATGGATCCGACCGGTTTCGGCTGGCCGCCCASCAGCCTCGTCAGGGATCTTTCTGTCGGTGCCAGTGCATGAAACATSCCTACTATTTAYCTTGCCCTACTGCCGACTTCTAGAAGGCGCCTACACTGCTAACAYCGACGGCCAAAAACAATCACCAAAAGACACYGGTTCGAATCCTCACTAACTCCGMGCACTATCACCATGATTTCAGAAAAAACTGAATCTCAACAATACTAGTGGAACCTCATCGCAAGAGGGGTACAGGTTCAGAAAACATCGAAAACAAAGAGTAGGCCCTGAAAGGGTTACCACCCTGCAAACGACCCCCCAGTTCATCACCACCGAACTTCTGCCCAAGAACGTGAAGAAAGACCGAAACAGCTAGTTAAAAGACGTGTTATTCTGGAATCGACCCCCCGGCTCATCACCACCACCCGCCGAACTGAAAACCGC